AAAATACAAACTACACAGGTATGGTTAATCCAAGATCAATGCATAATGTTCTTTATATCTATCTTAAAGATTTTAAAATTCTAGTCTTCTTTCATTAACAAAGATGCAGACACAGCTTGTTATTTATGATTTACATGTTAAGGATTATTTATTGCAGTGATCACCACAAGCACCAATGATATTGTTCATTGCATTTACATGTTGATTAACCGTGTGCAACAATGAATTATACCATGAGGAAACCTGCCTAAGAAAATTTCAAGACCCTGAAAAGAACTGCTGCAATGAAGTTTTTATATGTGGTAGAGCCATGCTGCAGCTATATTAGTAGTATAGTTTTAGCACAAATGGGTCGGCTCAACCGGGGAAGGACCACGCTCTCACAGAATACCAGCGTAAAATGGCAGCTTGACACTGCTGCGTTTCGTATGGTGAGTGTAGGGAACCGGAGACCCATTTTACTGGTAAAGAGGCATTCCATCTTAGTCCTCATGGGTGGCAACGCATCTGTATTTTGATTCGTAATCGAGGATATTTTTTCTTTGATTCTTTACTGATGTAGATGTCTATGGGTCACAGCAACCACTTACTATCAGGTTTACTGTGTGCCCGTTTGTCACCCTATCCTGTAAAAAAATGCACAAACTACTTTATTACCCCCTCAGAAATGAAAGGAGTCTTATGCCCAGCAATGGGACATATGTGAGCTGTAACTATAGGTACTTTTCAACTTTACATTTTGCAAAGCAACAATTAACCTACAACAGTAAAAATTAATGTTTATTAATATAACAAATAGGTATTTTATGTTCATAAACCCACAAAATCAAAATATGGTCTATTATAATCGATAATTTATGTAAATTATAATAAGTATTGTATCTGGCTAGTTCTGATTTGAAATCTTAGTCGGAGCCAACATTTAACTAATTGATTCACAGATAAGGGTGTGATGCAAGTTATAGAATAGAATAGAATAATTTATTCAATATAGATCACATGTGTAATTCTTATTGAAAGTCATTTTTTACTTTACCACTAGTTTGTAAAAAAGAACCCTCTGTCCTGGTAGGAATCAGCAAGAAAACCAGTGGGACTTTTTTTTAAAGTAAATTATTCATTAATGGTACAAACTATTTATAAAATTTATTTTAGAAACTGCTTGGATGCGACCACCTCATTCCCAGGATTTATTATCAGCCATGTTATAGTTTCAGCTTAGCAAAACATAACTTAGTAATAGAGAGAGCCTGTATGTGTAATACAAGATACTTGATAAAAGGTACAAACCAACTTCAAAACTAAAAAAAATCATTTTATAGCTTGTCTAGTTGGTGTTAAGAATAATTATGTGGTCTAAAGAATAACATAAATTTAAGATAACAACTTGAATGTGATTTAAATTTTTAGACATTAAAAACTTAATCCCTTATTTTTCCACCTTTACATATGGAATTTTCTCTTTATATTTTGTATAGGAACACACCTGAATTAGGTAAAATCTATTTATTATAAAAGAAATCATTTAAATAGAGTTAGATGTTTCCAAAAAATTGGTGAATATAAACAAAAAAATATATGCATAAAATATAAGCCTTCTTGCGTTTTGTAAAAATAGAAAGCGGGTCTGGTACTTAATGTAGGGTTATGTGGCTTAATAGAAATCAAGGATTTGATCCCTTGTCCATCATTGATTTTGTAAACAAATCAATGTAGATTAAAACAAAAGACATCTGCAACTTTGTTGTCAGGATACGTTGCTCTGTTTGGCACATGTACTCTATAAGCATATAAGTCATAATATTACTTAGTTCCTAGTGAGTGGGCTTGAACTGTGTGGAACTTAGTTATGACATGCACATTGAACAACTTCTGATAATATTCAAATTTATGACTGTAATAAACATTGGCCAAGATAACATCACTACTCAAAAACATGATAATTTTAAACTGAACCAATCTGAAACGATAAGAAAACTAAACATCACAATTGGTGCATTGCAATTGTTTTGTTTCAGCTTGAAACTGAAAACAAATATTTTTAACCAATATACTAAATTTTAAATTCTACACCAAACTCAATAATTCAATGATGAGTAGTTAATTTTTGTTTTTGAATAACTTGCCTCAAATTTAAAAATCAAGTTTATGCTGGGAATTAATCCATTTGATGCATTCCAAATGAGCAAGTTCCAATTATTATGGAGTGAAAACTGAGTAAAGAATAAGTAAAACCTATACATGTTCCACAACAGGGCATAAGCCTCCTCTCATTACTGGAAGGTGAAAGGGGCATCTGCTTATAGCTCAAAGCATATTTATTGGACAGACTTTACATGTACTTGAAAATTATTTTTGATATCTCAGACTCAATTTTCTCATAATGGTTCCCTTGACCACAAAACATGTGGTAAATCAACACAAATTGCAACTAAAAATATAATTGGTGATTGCAAAGATCAAATTCAGTATCATAATCATAATCACATACAGGCACAAAAAATTTAGTACTTTAATAGTCACCAAATGGGAAGTTAATAGCATAGGCAGACAAAATTGCACCCACATTCATTTACCATCTTAAAAATATTCAATTTGCTCCATAACATAGATATGCAATGAAAAATTAAAAATCAGAATGTTTACTTCAATCATTTTGTGAAACTAATATAGTTAAGACCTACCTACCTAGTTTGGCAACTTACTAATCTAAAAACATAAACGAGGATAAATGTAGATGTCTTTGGGTAACAGTATCCATTTACCATCAGGTGAAAAAAAAATCTAGTCATTATAAGTTTTCCTTCTAATTCCATTTTAAAAAAATGCTGGGTAACAGTCTTAGGTGGGATTGTGATAGGCTAATGATAGTGAATAATAAAATTGAACTAAATTATCCCCACTTAACACTGTTATTGGTTGCAATGATGATAATAATGATTAAAGAACTGAACACTACACAAACGAGATTATTAAGCTTCTTTATAATAAGCAGTCATTTCTGAGATTTTAGTTAATTGAATTCTTTCATATTATCATTAACTGTATCATAAACTTGATTTGTGATACATTATGGTTATGCAGACTGTAATAATTAAACCTTAGACATAGTGAATCTGTGTTTATCTTAGGAATAGTGTTTACTGTGCATTGAGGACTTAAAGAGAAGCCATCACTCCATTTTTCCTGTTTTATATTGTGGTAAGAGGTGATAACTATGGGAAAGGCCTGAAAGTTCTTGTGGCTTCAGATAGATAACATTACCTTTATATAACCATTTCACTAATGTCAGGAGTGAAATAACCAAACTTGCTACAGAAAGCAGTCAAAGGTATAAATGATAGTGTTGTGATTTTCAACCCACCAAGCATAACAATTAAAGTTATATCCTGCAGAGTACTTTTATGGGCTCATGATGATGATGATGATGAATAGTGTAACAAAAATTGAAAAAAAAATATTAATACTGTTTGTCCAAATTGTGTTATGACAATGAGTAAATCTTACAATTATCTATACACATAAATAAAATTGATGTCTGTCTGTAATATCAAAATAACTGCCTTATATTGAACTGAGTGGGTCATTTGTAGGCCAATAAAACATGAATAACATTTTTTTTAAATGTTGTCTATCAGTCTGTCCATGCTAATCTTCAGAATGGGTAATTTGATTGTAATAAACTTCACAAACAGGTCTCCACCTGTTTGTGAAGTGAATCAATGCCAAGTGTTCTGAATTATTTTTTATCTGATAAATTCAGAGATTTATTAAAAAATAAACCAATTGTCTTTGATTATGTTGAATGTAAATAATGCCACATAAATAGATCCCAGTAAGGAAAAGCATCACTAGTCATAAATAAATCTTTAAAACTATGCATTTAATTATTCTTGAAAAGGTCTATATCCAGCATGATTTAAAAGACTGTACCAGAATAATACAAAAATATGAAATCAAAGCAGGCTACATTTTAAGATATTTTTGTTAATAAGCCAAATAGTTTTTATCTTCTAATTCTACCTTCATACAAATAAATGTAGATGTTATTATTTCTGTGTCACAGAGAAGTCAGAAAAAAGTTAGACTTGTATAATGTCATCCACTTTAAAAATTTAAAAGCTTAGTAGTTGGATAAAGCTTTAAATCAAAATGAATGTGTATGAAACAATGAAAGATACTAAATATGTTTGCCAATATTTAATACGAAAAGAGTATAAGTGTTTACCTTGATTTCTGATGAATAAAACTTCACTTGTTAATCTCCCACTTAAAACTTTTATTATAGATATTTTGCTATATGTATTATCACAAATCCTGGTAGACTTTTAAAAACACAATCACGCAACTGACAATTCTTAAGGTCCGTGTTTTCTTTGATTACTGATTTCTCATAAACATAATTTACACAATAAAACACATCTGCAAGTTGACTTAGGTGTAAACTCTTATTCACCGCACTTCACTCTACACAATCGTATATGTTTATTGCATATTTGGATGGCCTTTTAATTCTCTAAAACCGTCCTTGCCTTTCCACATCATTAATCTCATGAAATTATATACAAAGTTTACTAATATTATATTATATGACAATACATTTATTATTGTTGATCAAAATCAGACATTTTCAGATAATTTGAGGACAAAATTAAACCTATAATATCTTAATAGTCATTGCTGCTATTTAAAGTATTCCAGTTAGAAATCATATAGTATTTTTCATGTGATAATGATTATTGCGGGAGCATCTACCAGTACTAAAGTATGAAAATATAAGATAAAGCACCTCGATTGGACAATGGTATGTATCAAAGATATTAACAACGTGATATGACGCGCGCCGCGGCCGCCAATGGTCCAGTGACAGGAGCCAGCAGGGCATACCCGTGTACCATCGCGCGCCCACTGGAGGCAGGCGGCCGTCGTGCCGAGGCGGCTGGATTCCCGCCTCGTCTTGCAGTCTTACGAGAAATAAATGCCACATTACACTCTAAATATTAAAGCACTGTACAACAACAATAAGTTTTCTTTTCCTTTTCTGGACTAACGTTCATTTCACGCACTATCTCGGCGAACATTTCATTCACATTTGTGCGACTCTTGGCAGAGGCTTCAACAAAGGGGCAGCCCCACATTTGAGCGAGGCTAGACCCCTCTGCTTGCGAAACTTCTCTCTGATGCTCCAAATCTGCTTTGTTGCCCACCAATAGAATTGGCACACGCTCAGAACCCTTTACACGTGTTATCAACTCCTTCATAGGCTTTATGTCTTGGAACGTCTGGTGATTAGTTAATGAATATACTACAACAAAACCTTGGCCATTTTTTATATACAAATCACGCATCGACGCAAATTGTTCTGTGCCTGCCGTATCCAATATTTCTAAAACACACGGTGAATTGTCCACTTCTATTTCCTTCCTATAAAAATCTTCTATGGTGGGGTCGTATTTTTCCATGAAACATCCAGACACAAACTGCACCGTCAAAGCACTCTTGCCGACCCCACCCGATCCCAGCACAACTACTTTGAATTCGCGCATTATTGTGGTATCTAAATAACACTTGCCAGTCTTCGCAACGTTTTGAAACGTATTCTCACTGTGTGCTATAAAAATGTCATCGCTATGTTGGTTTATGACTCACTCGGATGGGATCTTTATACAACGTTCACATGTAACAAGTTATCTAGATGATAAACAGCGACGCCATTTTAGTTAGATGAATAGCAAAACAACTTTGATTGCATCCTGACGCTGCGCTAGTCACTTCACACTTGAAAGTACAAACACGGAAGCAAACATCTATCCAACTGACTTGCTCCTCACTAGAATTAGCAGCAACAGCAGGTTGGTCAATGCACTCTATTGCTATGGTTTGATTGGTGAATGGAATTATTACTAACCGGATGCCAATGTTGCAATATAATTGAATTTAATTATATACTAATTCCACGAAAGCTTCAAAATAGTATAAGTGTAGATTAAAAACAATCAATCAGTTTTTAACATCTCAAATAAATAATTTAAAAATTACAACATACATTTTTACATAACTATTAATGTACCATAGTACCTTTTGGTAAAAATAAAAGATTATGTATTTATACTGGTAATATATATTTAAAAATGTCACCAATAATCTTAGTAACTATTACAAGATATGTTAAAAAGTTATTTTTTATTAAGAATTTAGTAATTTTCATAAAAAAAATTATTTTATTTCAATTCAAATTCAATATTATTACAATGTGTTGTAAAATTAGCTTATTAAAATGGCAACATTTATATTCGTTCGAAAATTACTAAGAACAATAACTAAAGCATTGAAGTAAGGCTTAAATAAGTGTGAGTTCGAACTAAACTACGTTTAGCTTAGTTCACAGAACACAATTACTCTTTTCCGAGAGAAGAATGCCAACTTCATACTAAAAAAAAGGAAACACGTGTTTATGAGTGTACCCTATAAGCGCCACGGCGGGCGCCTATATAAAACTTTTATAGCGGGAATTTCAAACCCTTGTATTCTGTAACTTTTAAGCTTTTTGTTTATTTAAGACAAATTTCGAGTAATTTTGGCTCGAGCCTCACAAATCTATTGGGTAAATTCCCATATATTTGAGAGGTTACACTAAAATTACTCGAATTTACTTTATAGGAGTATGTGAGATAAAATAAAACTAAAAATTGGTAATGTTATGTTATTTTATTTTTGGAACACAGATTGTTTTATTACTACATATTATTATTGATGTTTTTTTATTGTTTTTGCAGATAATATTTCCACACGTAATATTAATATATAACATACGTTATCGTGAGAGTAATAGCTCACAGAACATTAACGTAAATTTAAATCAGCAAAATTCTCATAATGAAACTGAACTCAGTCCAAATACATGATCTGAAACAGATAAAATTCGAGTCAATATAGTAATAATCCCTACATATAATGATCAATAATTTCAAAATGCTTAAAGATTTAGCACAATATTGTCATAAGTTTTTTTCTATTTTTTTTTTCGGTTTGGCACAAAGCGCTTCTTTCGAAGCTCCCTTCCTATGGGCTTCCCGAGAAATTGTGCAATTGGATCACCAGCTTCCTTGCAGATCGGAGCATCAAGGTCGTTGTAGACGGTGCATGCTCTGACTACAAGCCTATTAACGCTGGTGTTCCACAAGGCTGTGTGCTATCACCAACGCTGTTTCTTCTGCATATCAATGATATGTTGCTGACTGGTAACATTCATTGCTATGCGGATGACAGCACTGGGGATGCCTTATACACCGGCCGTGCCAATATTTCTCGGGAAAACGTCGCTGAGTACCGGAACAAACTTGTGTCTGAAGTCGAGTCTTTGCTGAACAAAGTCTCGGATTGGGGGCGACTAAATCTAGTCCAATTTAATCCTCAGAAGACACAAGTTTGCGCGTTTACCGCTAAAAAGAACCCCTTTGTCGTATCTCCTCAGTTTCAAGGCACTCCCCTTCTTGCCTCAGCCAGTATCGGTATCCTCGGAGTCGACATATCGAGTGACGTGCAGTTTCGTGGTCACTTGGAAGGGAAGGCCAAATTGGCCTCTAAAAAGCTTGGCGTGCTCAGCAGAACGGGACAGTATTTCATGCCGGCACACCGCCTGCTACTTTACAAGGCGCAAGTTCGGCCTCACATGGAATACTGTTCCCATCTCTGGGCAGGGGCTCCCCAGTGCCAGCTCCTTCCACTTGACCGCATCCAACGCAGAGCGGCTCGAATCGTCGACGACCGAGCCCTTTCCGATCGGCTCGATTCATTGGCACTGCGAAGAGATGTTGCATCCCTTTGCATTTTCTTTCGCATCTACCATGGGGAGTGCTCTGAGGAATTGTTCGGATTAATCCCAGCCGCCAAATTTCACGAACGCACATCGCGGCAGAACTCCCGATACCATCCACACCATCTGGATGATTGGCGGTCCACCACTGTGCGATTTAGAAGATGTTTTCTTCCTCGCACGACCTCCTTGTGGAATCGATTACCATCAGCGATTTTTCCGGACCGATACGACTTAGGGACCTTCAAGAAAAGAGCGTACTCCTTTTTAAAAGGCCGGCAACGCATCTGCGATTCCCCTGGTGTTGCAGTTGTTCATGGGCGGCGGTATCACTTACCATCAGGTGAGCCGCATGCTCGTTTGCCCCCTCTCCTATAAAAAAAAAAACAGGAAACTTGCGGAGCGATAAGATCATTTTTTGCTTTTTGTTAACACAACACTTAACTTACGTCTGATTCTGATCGCACATCGTGCATAAAATTTTAAAATAATGAATTAATTTATAGTCAATATCTCCTACAGAGTCAACGTCTTACAAAAAATCTTTACATACACAATAGCAAGGAAATACCTACAAACGAAATTGAAGTATTCTGAACCATTAATAACTGAATTTAAGCAAAAAGCAATAATAATATTATACTCTAATGAGCAACCAAAAAAAAGTTTAACACAAAATTAACATTTTCAGTTTCTTCCCATATAATATGTATTTTTGTATCTAATTTTTAAAATGGCAATCTAAAACAACGCGTAAGATAGAAAAGGCGATATCTTTTTCTCGTTTTAATTTTATACGCCCAATACAAACATAGACATAATTATGATTGTGTGCAAGTTTCTCGGGTTTCATACAGTTGCATCACCCTGATTTCATTCGTCATAAGGCATTAAAAAAGGCCTGAGAGTTTCATACTTTGTTTTACTTTTTTGGCATGTCAAAAGACGAACCACAGAATAATATGATGAACAGACATTACGGTATAGTACTATATATATTGTAGACCCCCTACCCCAGCCTACAAATTTTGAATATAGGTTACTTTTTTATATTGTAAAAAGTACCCAATTCTAATTATTTTTATTTCTAAACTACATGGGTGCAGTTACAATAATTAATATTTTTGAGATGTGTTATTTGAAATCCGTCTATCAGTATTTATATATATATATATATATATATATATATATATATATATATATATATATATATATATATATATATATATATACTGGTATATTGTTATAGTAAGGCTTCAAAAATTTAATCTCTAAAGAGGTGAATCTACCCATAAATTTAAACAATTTTCCCCCAAAACAGACCAGAAAATTGTATTTTTGGGTACTTATGACCCTTGCACAAAATTATTTATTGTCGTAAATAGTGTGTTGTCCACACGTGTACATACGCGGTGTTGTAATAATGTTCCCTAAAAGTACATAATTTCAGGGAGCATTAATACAAGACCCAGTTTATATTATGAGACCGGTAGAAAACGTCCGCTCGCACTGGCGTTTCGCGTGGGACGTAGAAGTAATTCAAGACAGCATTGTCACCGCCGCATGTTAGTTTAAGTTTATCCTGGGAATTTCTTTTTTAACATAATGTTAATAAAATATTAATAAGTTGGTTTTAGTTGTACGAGGGCGACACTGAAATTTTTTAGAACTGACTACTTGTAAACGATATAATAAAAAATAAGTTCAAATTTTGAAAATGGAACTCTTTGTCAATATTATTGTGTATGTATTTTATTAATTTTTCTATTGTTTATTGATTTGGCGGCAAATTGTCTGTGTCACGTCAGCATGAATTTAATGCGAGAAAAATTTTGTACAATGATTTTTTATGACTTTCGATGTCATTTAAGTCAACAAGAAAGACTATCTATATATATAGACTTATGATAGACTTCGATTGACCTTTCACGATGGAGCCCCATCTCGTGCCACTGTTTACAACTGCTATAAGTGACTGACTTATCAGCAGATTCGGATAAGTTTAGGCATCAGTATGAGTCAAGTGCACAAAATCCTCCATGAACATTTAGCTATCAGAAAGCTTTGTGCCCCGTGGATACCTCATAATTTTACAGAGGCCCAAAAACTCCGTCGAGTTGATTGGTGTCGTGAAATGGTACAAAGATTTAACGTAGCTGACTCATATGCTGTGTCCGACATACTTACGGGTGACAAAAGCTGGACTTATTGTTATGATCCGGAAACTAAGAGACAGTCTGCTGTCTGCGTGTTTCCTTCCGAGGAGATGCCAACTAAAGTGAAGAGAGGTCGAAGTGTGGGAAAAAGATGGTAACCTCATTCTTCGGAAGGACAGGTCATTACGCAAAAATTGTTTTAGAGGATCGAAAAACAGTTACTACAGAGTGGTACACTAGCAATTGTTTGCCATTTGTCTTGGAAAACGTTCGGGAGAAACGACCTCGCAGTAGGATCCTCCTTCACCACGACGACGCCTAGTTGCACACCGCCAAGCAAACAATCGACTACTTGGCGACGTCAGACGTGGATCACCCGGCCTATAGCCCCGACCTCGCACCTTGCGATTTTTATTTATTTCCGAAAATAAAAGAAAAATTCGAGGAAAAGGTTTTATGGACGCCGAGGAAGCAGTGGCTGCATTTCAAAATACCGTCGAAGAGACCCCTAAGGACGAGTGGGCAAAGTGCTTTTATCAGTGGTTCCATCGGATACAACGATGTATGGCGCTGAAGGCGACCAACAAGCCGAAGCTGCGGAGGCGAGGATACCCTACGACAACCCTACGCGCCTCTGGCTCTATAAAAAACACTCTAGGAGTAGGACAGACTCACTGCGCCCCCTTTTCCCTAAAGGGGGTCGCTTCCGAAAGGCAGAAAGGCCATACAGGCCAAAGCCAATCCCACTGGTGGTGTTTAGTGGGTAGGCGCTTCTTCAAAGTGAGTCCCACATAACCACGCAGCCGGCTGCCGTGGTATGCTATGAGCATTCACCACCTCCGTTCCCCGCTTCCGGAGAGTAGCCTTGCTTTGGGCGTGAAAAAAAAAGGACAGACTCGTACCAGGTGGAGTCGGGGTCATTCAATTTGGTTCTTTGACATAAGTTGAACCTTACCTATTCTATTTGTTATCTGCCTTAATATATACTGTTAAAATAAAAGAAATCAAATATACCTTATTAAAAATGTATTAATCAATTTTATACACGTATTGTTTTAATTTATTCTTCGAAAACATATATATACGCTATTTTTATTTTTCTTCGCCAAAAATATCCAATGATTCCAGTCTGTGAAGTTTGCTTTATAGTCATCCCTACCGAACATCACTTTGACGACAGTGACAATACAAAATATTTTCAGTTTTACGTTTCGTTCACTGACCTCTGTATATACAAGGTCAGTGGTTTCGTTCCACAAGCCAGCAAGATACGGTAAATACTACACATTTTAATTTTAATAGCTCGTGTAAAAAATAATTCTGTAATTTAAATATAATTCGAGAATTCGATATAATCTGTGGTAGGGATCAACATAAATATTGCAGAGAGTTTTGGCGGGAAATTGACCGGCGGCGGTTTGCTGCTCCTGTATTATTGTTTAAATAATGGTTTGAAGTGGACTTTGATATGTAAAAGTATTGCGATTTTGTGTATTAAGTGTCTACGCATGTGAACTATTAGTGGAAACAGTGAAACAAGTGCTCTGATGGTGATGGATTCTCAAGATAAGCTGTTTGTTTGCATAGGCACCTTTAGATACCATCGCCAACTATCAGCTGTCTGCTGGATCAAGTTGCCGCCAAAATCTCCCAAGAACTGCACAATGTGACGCATCAACATATTGTGAAGCAGTATACTATGAAGGAGTGGGGAAATTACAATAAACCGAATAAAAATACTTAAGACTTGGCCTAAAGGTCTAGATACCAGGCCATAAACTCCAAAAAAAAAAATATTGCAGTCTGCCAGGCCATAAACTCCAAAAAAAAAATATTGCAGAAATAATTGATTTGAAATCCGTAGAGTTGGCAATGCTGATCGCCCACCTCTACTATTATATATGTTCTGTGGACACAGACAGGGGATTCATCATTACGGCGAAGTGATATTTTTGGTAAAACTATAAATGTGCCAACTCGGAAAAATTACAACTCGATTTAACTCGAGTTGAAATTCACACAACTTGAGTTTAAACTCGAATTACGCAACTCGAGTTAGCAGTACGTAACAGAGTAAATGCTTTTTTTACAAATATATTTTTTATAAATTTGTTTTTCTATCTACCTTTTTGGAGTGTTGGGATAACTATAATAACCAAACTTATTATTTAGGATTTAAATAAAAACTTATATTTAATATATATCATATACTTAATCGACTTTCTGTATGTCTTACCAGGTCGTCTCCCCATCTAGTGGGGGGCTCCCTACACTTCGTCCGCCAGTACGAGGCCGCCACTCGATGGGTAGATGCAGGTGGCTCAGGACCGTGCTTTGTGGCATTCAATTAGACGTGGTAGAGCCATGCTGCAGCTATATTATGGTTGTAGCACGAATGGGTCGGCTCGACCGGGGAAGGACCACGCTCTCACAGAAAATCAGCGTTAAATATCAGCTTAATGCTGCTGTGTTTCGTATGGTGAGTGTAGAGAACCGGAGACTATTTTTACTGGCAAAGAGGCATTCCATCTTAGTCCTCACGGGTGACAACGCATCTGCATCTTGAGTCTTTATTGAGGATAGATGTAGATGTCTATGGGTCACAGTAGCCACTTACCATCAGGTGGACTGTGTGCTCGTTTGTCACCCGATCCTATAAAAAAAAATCCTTGGGGGGGGGGGGACTATGTTCAGCAGTGGACTTAAGAAGGGCTATAATGATGATTATGATATACTTAACATGTATTTTTGGTTTTAATCTTAGTTATAGTAAGTACCTGTATTTAACAACAAAACTAGCTATATAGCAGTCTTCACAAAACAATATTAGTCTAGCTTTAAGATGTAGGTACATAAGCTATTAATAGTTTAATTATCACAGTCAAAATATTCTTAAATATATTTTTTTCAAATTCAATATATCTATTGAATATAATTTTTTTATTCGATATTGATTATCACATAATTCTTATTGAAAGTCATTTTTTATTTACCACTGGTTCGGAAAATACCTCTGTCCTGGGAAGAACCAGCAAGAAACCCAGCGGGACTTTTTTTTCAAACATATTTCACTTAACAATAATTTCGTTTATACAATTTTAAATGATTTTTCATAGAACCAGCATGGTTGCGATCACCTTATTCCCAAGGGTTATTTTCATTCATATATTCCTCGATATTATAATAACCCTTTTTGTACAGTTTTTCTTTAATAAAACTTTTAAACTTGTTTATTGACAAACTTTGAATATGTTCTGGGATTTTGTTGTAAAAGCGTATACATTGCCCTATAAATGAATTACTGATTCTGTGGAGTCTAGTAACTGGTATTACAAGCTTATGTTTGTTCCTAGTGTTTAAAGTATGCACATCCTTATTCTTATTAAAGCTATTTATGTTTTTATGTACATACATTACATTTTTATCAATATATTGCGATGCCAAAGTTAATATGTTTATTTATTTAAATTTTGTCTGAGGGACTCTTTACAATTTCGGTTATAAATCGCCCGAACGGCTCTCTTTTGCAAAACAAATATAGCTTCAATATCAGTCGCATTACCCCATAGCAAAATTCCATAAGACATTACGCTATGAAAGTAACTAAAATACACTAATCTAACTGTCTCAACATCTGTAAGACTTCTAATCTTTCTTACAGCATATGCTACAAAACTAAGTCTGCTTGCTAATTTAGATATAAGGGGGCCCCATTGAAGTTTCGCGTCAATAGTAATATCAAGAAAAACAGTGGTATCCACAAGACTCAACTCCTCCCCATTTAACAGCACATTGGTATTCGAATGTTTTACATTAGGTATTGTAAATTTAATACACTTTGTCTTATTGCCGTTTAAGAGCATATTGTTGGCATTAACCAATGTACTAATTTCGATAGAGCATTATTTACATCGTCATAATTAATTGACTGCTGTTTGAGTTTAAAAATTAAAGAGGTATCGTCAGCAAATAATACTATATCGTGATTGCCCCCTACAAGATAAGGTAAATCATTAATATAGATTAAAAACAGAAATGGGCCAAGACTCGAGCACTGAGGAACGCCCATTGATTCTATCGATCCGGAGGAACCTTTACCATTGATCACGACTTTTCGAGTTCTGTTACTTAAATATGAAGTAATAAGTCTAAGCGCCAAATTTTTTACACCGTAATGTTGTAGTTTCCTGATTAATGTCTCATGATGAATATTGTAAGCTATGTGTTACATTTGGCGTTATTTTAAAATATCATGTCTATAACATCTTAACCACCCTTTTCGTCTATTACAATAATTGTCGTAATACCTGAAAAGGCCGAAAAGGTGCTTGTAATGGGTCTGTGACTTACGTATATTAATCATATTTAATCAAAATTATAAAAAATTAAATTACGTACCTTAGCTATTATAACATTCTAAATACCAAATTGTTTTAGTTGTAGCTAAATACTTTTTGAAACACCAAGCGCGCACACAAGGAATGAATCGCGATCTGACTCTTTTGCTGGTTCACTTGATCCGTTTATGTTTAGCAGCTCAAATTCGAATTAGGGAGATCCAAATCGAGTTAACTCGAGTTAGTAACTCGATTTAGTAACTCGAGTTAGTAACTCGAGTTGACTCGTCACTAGGTGAAACGCAATTTAAAAATAAACATTACTTAATTAATTTTAATTTATGAACAGAAGTCCTTTAGCCTTTAATTTTACAATTCTGACTTAAAGGGGGATCTTCTAACTTTTAAGATATATAAAGGACTTGGTTTCCTCATAATTAGTAATTTGTAAAAACTAAAAATAAACTTTGACTGCAAGTTTCCGGTAGCCGATTTATCAATAGGTAAAGTAGAAAATTAATATTTATTGGACGGTTTTAAATAATTACTTGTCCTAATAATTGTTTGAAACAATTGGCTCAATTTTTTTATGTACTTTGTCGTGTTGTAAAATATGAGAATGGGCGGCGTAAGTGAATACTCTACCTTAGGTCATCCTGTGGATGTCGTAAGAGGCGACAGAGGACAACTGAGACAGGAGATGGGGTGCAGCATCTTCCTAATAAATAAAAATAATAAAAGACTGCGGTTGCCAACCCGCCGGCCAAGGTTGACAACAATGGAAAATAATCCCACTATGAGGCAATCGATGGACCGTGGACTATGGATAAACTGTAATAAATAAAAAAAAAGGATTAAATCTTTTTGTTATTTATGTTCATAGCAACAAAATAAAAAGGACTGTAATCACTACTTCTGCCGGCTAATATATAACAGTACTACAACTTGCCTAACAACTTAACAATTATCTTGTTTAAATTCTGATATATTTATAAATTTCTCTCGATCAGACCACTAGAGAAAGTAAGCAAAAATGAACACACTTTGAGTGTACCCACGTTGCTCATATATTGTGAAATTTAAGGCAAACGGATGACTAATATATCCATCCACTAATTGGATGAATAATTAATATTTGTTTATCTGTAAATTGGATGGAAGTGTCTATTCATATGATAATCAAATGATTTTTTTTTAATATATGATGATTGTATGATTTATCTATTATGATTTATCTATTTTTATTATATATATAAAATAATTATATTACAGAAATACATATAATCACTAGAAACAGAAAAACATTTGAAACACTAAATTTATATGATGTAACAGTGTAACAAATAACCACTCCACCTAGTGGCATATAGTAAGTAGAAACTTATTAGCCTTCTTTGACTACACTGATGTGTGTTACCCTGACCTAAGTGAGGCCCTTCTAATTAAGTTAAACCGTCGTGTTAATAATGGCATTTCCTCCTGACCATAGTTTGATCATTCATTCGATTTTAAGTGGCTACCTTTTTACATAAGAAGGGGATTTGACTCTATTTCGCCTTAATGTTTAAATTTCAAATTTATGTTTTCTATCTGATACAATCCCCCACTCAAAACCTATCTCTATATACTTTTACATATAGGATTGATACCCTACTCCTATATTCTTCAAGCTGCAAGGCTGTGGAATACACTTCCTGATGACATAAGGTGCCCTTTAACTAAAGTGACTTTTAAACACAGACCTCCTATAAGTGAACATAATGTTTATGATGATATTTTTATGTATTTATTCATATTTGTCTATTTTTTATAATAATATACCAGTCATTTGTATCCATCCATCCATTACAGCCTACAAAAGTCCATTGCTAAACATAATCCTACACTATAGATTGGCTCATAGAAGGGATTTTGCCATATTTGTCACGCTTGGCAGGTGGGTCACCAATCACAGCTTTATAATTTTGAGTTATTATCAGGAAGATACTGCTGTCAAATCTCCTGTTTCTTTTTCGTCTCTAACAACATATATACGAGAGTGACTGACTGAAAGTTTTTAGAACTGGCCACTTGTAAACAAAATAATAAAAAAATAAGTTCAAATTTTGAATATGGAACTCTTTGCCAATATTACTGTGTATGTATTTTATTAATTTGTCATTTGTTTACGATTTGGCGGCAAATTGTAAATTGTCTGTGTCACGTCAGCATGAATTTAACGCGAGAAAATGAATTTAAAGCGTCTCCCACATAGAAGCGGCTTACGGTGGCGGCCAGTTGTATTCGCTTGCAATGTAAGTGAGTCTGCAAACCCGTGCGGCCATGTCGCGATCTGTGAGCGGCTGGCCGTGGTAGTATGCTCTGCCCCTTCTGCCAACGCGTGTGTTACGGCGGCTCTACACGTTGGCCAAGACAGTGGCGAATGTGTTGGCAGAGATATTGGCCAAGAAATTGTGATCGCGTCCACACGTTGGAAGGTCGTTCAGTTTGCATCGATTCATACCAATGTGTGGACGAATTTATTAAAATGATTATTGAAGCGCTAACGGCTGTTGCGGTTTATTTATTCACAACATACCACTATTTTTTATTTAATTTTCACTATTTTTAATATTTAATATTTTTAATATAAATTTTTAATATTTCTTTATTATATACTAATGTTATACAGATAAGTAAACTATATAAACATTAACACACCTAGGCATAGGTATAATTAACTAAGGTCTGGAAAATATTCAAAGCCTGTCTATGAAACTGTTGTAAAATTTTTATTAAACAAAACCTTTTTAAAAAGGGTTATTATATAATTATAGAATATATTTATTTATTTACACTTTCATGCACAAAGCAGTACATAGGGCGAACTTAATAATAATAATAATAAATAATTTATTTCATTAAACATTAAAGTTACATTATGATCAGTGATCGAGGTCACCTAGTAAGCATTTATACGTGGTAGAGCCATGTTGCAGCTATATTAGTAGTATAGTTGTAGCACGAATGGGTCGGCTCGACCGGGGAAGGACCACGCTCTCACAGAAAACCAGCGTAAAATAGCAGCTTAATGCTGCTGTGTTTCGTATGGTGAGTGTAGAGAATTGGAGACCCTTTTTACTGTAAAAGAGGCATTCCATCTTAGTCCTCACGGGTGACAACGCATCTGCATCTTGAGTCTATTGAGGATAGATGTAGATGTCTATGAGTCACAGTAACCACTTACCATCAGGTGGACTGTGTGCTCGTTTGTCACCCTATCCTATAAAAAAAAACCTAGTAAGCAAAATAATGCCTGTAACAGGTGACTTCGCTCTTCCATAGCAAAAAATTACAGTATTATTAACGAAATAAAGTAACTAATAGGGAATAATAAAGACAGTAAAAACATGATTTGAGTATCCTACCTTTTAATTTGATTTTAGTATCTTACCTAGTCTCATAGCATTAATACATCAATAAATCAATTAATACATCTATAAATAAATTAATACATCAATCACTACAATGTGAATGTGTATAAGAAAAGGGTGATCAAAAAGAAATGAAAAAAAAGAAATTTTATTTCTTGGCGGCTCCGTGGCGTAGTGGCTTAGCAATGAGTTGCTGCGCTGGAGGCCACGGGTTCGAATCCCGCACGGAACAAGTATTTGTATAGCCTGCACATAATTGCTCCGGGTCTGGATGTTTGTCGTTATGCAATTTATGTTTCTAAACTGCCTCCACGATACAGGAGAAAATCCTAGTGTGGGGGTAACGTTTTTTTTTAAAAAGACTTATGTTTCACAAACAATTTTTGGCTTGGTAGGGCTCTATAAAGCGAAAAGGTTTTTCATTGGTCATTGTTACTGCCGTTATGTAGACACTATTGCGTGCATATAAAATTTAAATCAGGTGCGTGCATTCACTCTGGGAGCTCGTAGCAAACTGAACGTGCGCCCAACGTGTGGACGCGGCGGCCAATACTCTGCCACAACCCTTTGATCTTTTGTAAAAAACCGACACCAGACGGATTTCGCGCCAACTTGTGGGCCATCGTTCCAATACGTACCAACGTAGCTTAAACATCCGCTCTACACGATGGCCATCGTTGTTGGCCAACACATTCGCCAGTATGTTGGCAAACGTGAAGAGCCGCCGATAGAGAGTACGCGGTCTGTCGGTGGCCGCAGCGCGGTCAGTTGCAAATTTTTACAACAGGCCGCGTGTACCGCGTGAAAAATGGTGCTAAATTCAGAGATTGTAATAGTTACAGAGCAAAATTATCCGGTACTTTATGATAATTCGCATCGTGATTACAAAAGCATTAGGATTAATAACAAAATATATGATAATAGTGCTGAATATAAAAAGACTTCGTCATGGTTAGTCATGTTACTCGTCCAATCGTAGCACAGACACCTCAGCGAATGGCGTTTCAGGTCATTCGCTGAGGTGATGTGTTGTTGCAGCGGCTGGAGCCGCGGCTCTCGGTTAGCCGCCACCGCAAGCCGCTTGTGTGTGGAGACGCTTAACGCGAGAAAATGTTCGTACAATGATTTTTTATGACTTTCGATGTCATTTAAGTTAACAAGACAGTTATGATAGATAATTAATAGAATCAGGCGTTACTTTGCGGAAATCCATTATAATGGGGTTGTTATAAACTAATTCATTTTCGAGATTTAGTTAATTTTCGGGAGTAGTGTGGTGGTGCTGGGGGTGGTAGTGCTGGGATTGACGGTGACGGGTATAGTGCGCGCGATTGAGGGAGGGTGGGAGGTCCCCTTAAAACTGGGACACATCATTTTCTTTCTTTACGCGGAATTAAGCAAATTAGTTGATAACAACCCCTTAGTTATGATAGACTTCGATTGGCCTTTCACGATGAACACGACGAACGTGGCACTGTTTACAACTGGTTTAATGAGTTTAAACGTGGTCGCACAAATCTCACCGATGATGTGCGTGAGGCGCGGCCTTCTACGGCAACGACTGAAGATAACATCAGTGTTGTGCGGCGTATGATAGAGATAGAAAAAACAGTGACGTATCAGCAGATTTGGACAAGCTTAGGCATCAGCATGAGTCAAATGCACAAAATCCTCCATGGACATTTAGCGGTCAGGAAGCTTTGTACCCGGTGGATACCTCATAATTTGACATAGGCCCAAAGACTCCGTCGTGTTGATTGGAGGCCTTTGGACTCAACTGCCTGCGCCCATCGGTATGTTGGGTAAACAAAAAGATCACCAGCTAAGCTAAGTGATCCTCAAGGTAACGCATGAGCTGGCAGTTACTAATGAATTCCATTATTTTCGAGAATAAGGAGGTGATGGCGATAAGCCTGTAGTCAGAAGTATCAGAGCGGTTACTTTTTAAGGAATCGGGGGCACGAAAGCTGTCATCCATAAATTCGGATAACGTAGTAAGTAAGGATAGGGAGAAGGAGTACCCGAAAAGCGTTAGAACCGGTGTCAACTCAGCACACGTCCTCAGCACCATTAGAGAGATTCCACGAGGC